TATTGATCATCATTTTCATGCAAGTATAATTTACCTCAATCAAGTCAGGAAGATCATCTGATTTATGCTCTTCTCATCCTTTCCTATCCTGAAAATCGTGTACTCACTTGTTGGATTAACGATGTAATATGTGAGCTTAATTTCAAACTTCAATATCATTATCTCAATTTGTAAGAGATGAGCAGGTGGTAATCCTATCAGTATACCGTCGTTTTGGAATAGCCTTTTAGCTGACATTCTAAATATTCCATATCTCACTCAATCCATAACAACAAAGTTAGCCTCAGTGGTTTTGTTCAGAACTCGAAGGCGGATCTTGAATAAGTATAATGTTATTAATGACATAAACAACAATAGAAACTAATACTTTTATGGACAGGTTTTCAAATCCAGCATAGCACCACCCATATTAACTTTGAAAACTTTGTATTTGACGGAATACATATTTTCCTACATATTACATAAAATGTTAGCATTTGATAGTTAATAGGTCATTAAATCAAAATTGATACTTACCTCTTCTCCATCCTTAATTTTTAATTGATTTAGCTTTTGCGGTGTTTGAGTTGAAATTAGTTGATGAGGTGCTTTCGTACTTTTCACTCAGAAGAATTGGTCCACCTCAGTCACTTATTTACCAAAATAATGAGTTGATAATTAATCCCTTTTTCTATTTGAAACTTCAAACTTATAACGCGCAACTAAATACGGTAATTAAATTGTCATGAATTTCACCTTGGCCCAAAATTAATGACTTCTGGAATTCTTGGATTCGCCAAGAGCAAAGTCACTCGAGATGAGAAGAAGGTTATCTCGTTTTCAAATTTGACGATCGTTTAAATAAATTTTATTAATTTATTTGTAAATGGCTGGATTAATCATGATAAAGTAATAAAGATATTTCATTACCATTGTAATGAACGACATATAATGATGTAATGACCGGGATGAGAGGGCGGTTACCCCATCTGCAAGGATAACATTTAATTGAGTAACCATCCTACCAAAGAAAGTTACCTTGAAAACCAATCCCCTTCAACCAAATTGTATATTAGATTTGCGATTAGAGTCAAAGTAATGTATTCTATTTGCATACTCGAGAAGTTTTAGTTGGAGTCTTCGTGCAAGCAATTCTCTAGTGAGTGTTAGATGTCAATAAACGCGAATAATGAATAAGCTGGCTAACAACATCTGTGCAATGAAAATTTTAAAAAGTTAATTAATGTTTTTGGGTTTATACACATCATATTGAAGTAAAGTTGAATTGAGAGTAGTAATTCGAACCTGAAAGAAATTTTCTTTGGTTGCACTTTTTATCAATCTCATCTTCTTAGATGAAATAAAGCTTAAAAGCTGGTAGACTGGAATATCATTTCATGACCAATTTGTTTAGAATATAGCCTATAATCTCCCTACTCATACTGTCCATAAAGTCTTGATAGTGTAAACTCTCTAGTCATGAAATGGGGGTCGAAAGTACTTGATTTTTCCTTTGGGAATTTGCACCCTAATATCATTATCATGAAGAAAAAAGTAGGAATATTAATAAATTTCTAAATTTGAATCATACATTTGAATTTGCGTTGTTGTTAGTTTACACTATGAGTCAATATATCGAGGCAATGAATAATATATGTCTTGAGATTGATTGACATCCACTTCCTCGAAACCTGACATTGAAGAATCTAGTTCCTCTTTTAAGTTGTGAGATCGGATATCAGGTTAGATTGCTTATTCACTAACCTCCAATTAAAATAACAGTCAACCAATTTTTTTTTTGTTTCACAACATATATCAGATTAACTCACAAAATATGTAATAAGCTCAATCATGATGTCTGAGCGTGTGATTAAAAAACACAGATTAGCTCTTTCTAAAATTAGAATATTGACATGTATAACAATGAATATTATATTGTGGGTAAAATTTAGAAAATAAATATAAAAGCAAAGATTGAAGAATTTTAACACTTAAATACAATTTAATCCTCCCACAATCACGAATACACGTAAACTGAAAATATTAATTTTCTACTACCAATACATAATAACATATTAGTACGGAGGCAATGGCAATTGGATAGTGAGTAAAAAAAGAAACTAAATTTAGTAAAACATGAACGACGTCTGAATAAGGACTTGTGAGTGAAAGTGAAAGAGCAGTGACAATTGCAGTCCTCATGAAAGAAATAACACACGAAATAATTCATAAGCTCATATAATCAACTGGGAAGGACGGGATGTGTTGAGAGGGAGCAGTTGGGTGTCTCTGATCCATGAATTATATAGTAGTCAGGTGAAAGTTAGTTGTTGCGTAGGATTATGTATCCCGCCTTTATTCACTATTGTCATTAGCAACTACTTTATTTTAATGTTACGGTGGGTATAGCAGGAATGCAATTGCAATACCATTTTTATTTTGTATTCCTATTCAGTTAAAAAATGCCATTATTTGTGTGTCGTATAAATTTTGGAATGAACTGATGAGTTAAGCTTTTTTAAATTTTAAATATTTTCTTATTCACTTAATTTAGGCTCAAAGAGTCTTTATCAGTTTTCTTGATATATGAACTAAATCGGATCAACGGTTGGGTAAGCAAAATCATAGTTAGTAAATACTTCGTTTAATACACACGTATATGTACTCGTACGTAGTTTATCCGTTTAAAACTTTCGTATCCGTATTATTGTCAAGCCGTTTTATTTTTGTCCGTTCATTTGATGGCTCCCGTATTAAACAAATATACAACCCGTATAACACGTTTAATATCCATATTTAATAAATTAAATTATTAACTTCACCATTATTTGTATATATATTTATTTAAAAATAATTAATTTTATATATTTATGACTATTAACATACTATTAAACGTAACATTAGCATAGAGACAAAGTAAAATATTCGTACGTATTTTATATGTAACTTTCCCATACCGTATTTTACTAACTATGAGTATAATCACTAAACCAGTTATAATAGCGTTCAGTTCATTTGATTGGATGGTTAGAGATGGATCGAACGATTTTTAGTGGTTTGGCATGAAACCAGATGATCTGGTTTACCTGATCCACTGGTTCACTATTTAACCACAAAATATTAAAAAAAGTACGTTAACGTAAACTAAAAACATTCATCCTCAATCACTAATTTTATTCATACTTCATTTTTTTTCATTTCTCATCCTCCTTGTCGGATTTATCTGGTTCACTATGGAGTGTCACTCTATTACTGACTTGAATTTAACAACAAAAAAAGATGATTTCTTTTGTGAGATAATTTGAATGTTTTGTTAGAATATTTTTTGTGATAGATGATATGATATGGATTTGAAATTTTTTATGTGTAGTGATACATTTACTCCTAAATGAACATATTATATATCTCTAGCGCATAAACGGCTCTATCAATAATTAACCAACATTTTTATAACGCTTAACTATTAAATTAAACTACTAACTTTTTCGGTTCAACATCCGGTCCGGTTTTGAAAAAAACATTGGTTTTCTTGCACCATCCACTTCGCGTCTCATTTAATGAACTAAATTCTTATAAGAGTTAGACGTGTGTGTAAATTAAATGGACATGCTGAATTATATTGAATCTGATAACATCACCATCAAAGCCCATGTAGAGCATAACTAATCAATTATTAGTCAAATTCCCATGGGTTGGTTAAAGAAGCCATGCAATGGAGGCCCATAGAGATTAAAATCTAAAAGCCTATAAGAACTAAATAGAAAATGACAAAAGCCCCCCTCCGTGGGTTGCGCAGGAGACGGGAAAAGTGGAATTAAGAGGGTTTTGAAGAAGAACCTGTATATATGTATTGTTTGATGATTATACGATTGAATTTTCTCGGACATGACTGGCTATTTTATGTCACGAGTTATTTTGGGTCGTAATGGGCATAGTTAGTAAAATATGGTACGGGAAAGTTATGTATAAAATATGTACGGATATTTTATTTTGTCTTTAAGCTAAAATTACATTTAATTGTATTTCAACAATGATAAATATAAAAAATAAATTATTTAAAAAATAAACAAATATAAAAATAATAGTAAAGTTAACCATTTCATTCATTAAATACAGATATTAAACGTGATATACGGGTTTTATACGTGTTTACTACGAGAGCTATCAAATGAACGGAAAAAAATGAAACGACTTGACAATAATACGGATACGGAAGTTTAAACAGATAGAAAACGTACGGGTACATATACGTGTATTAAACGGAGTATTTACTAACTATGGTAATGGGTACTATTTTAAGATATCAAAGTCAGTTGAAGGGAGTGAGGTTAATCGTTATGTTACCTATCAAATGGTCCAATGCCCAATTGCTATGCATGGCTCTGTTTAATGCTGGATTTGGGCATTGAACTTAGCATATATGTGATGTGACACTATACTCACTGAAATTGACCTTATTTCCCATACATAACATCTACACTGGTGGTCTAAAGATGAAAACGATTCTACATAAACTAGGAAATGGATGCACCAGGATGACTATTCTTCAACCATTTGAGTGAATTCAGAGTCCAGCGCAACAAATATCAAGTTTCTCATTAGTACTAACCCACAGTTGGATCACTTAGTATTGTTATGTTAGGTTTAGATTATTATGCGTGCCGCTTTAGATGCCTGACATATTTGTGGCTGTGAGATCAGAGTTCTAATTGGCAGGGTAGACTTGCTAGCTGCAACTCCACTGCCACTGTTACAGAAGTGCACAATTTGGTAAAAGATATAGAACAATTCTTATGCCCAGTCAAGATGCTCATGCCATGTAGAAAAACTGGGCAACTGAAACCTTCTTAAATTGTCTATTTTCATATCATTTTGCTACACAACTTCAGACCAAATCTCCAAAAATAGGCAACAAAGATCAAACTTCAAGAACCAACTGTACTAAGCATTTCTATGTTCTTCGAGCAGCAATTGCATAAAGAGTTTACTACAATCACCCGGGTTACAACTTAATTGGGAATTTAAGAATCTCCATGAGGACCAAAACTAATTTCGGTGCTAGCCATTCTACTGTTACCAGACAACACTAATCTGTTCTTATAAACATCAATACATCCGAACGCATCTGTACCAGGAGGACACTCCAAGGCTGCCTCAAGTGACCTATGGTGAACGCCATGAGCATCAATCGAGTACCCACCGTTGTGATCATGCCCCGATACGCAAACCTTAACACAACCATGCCTGTGAATCAAATTCATTACCTCGTCGTAGTTCCAAAGCAGAGACCCTGGGAATGCAACACCAGGGTCCAAAGGTATATGACAACAAACAATCACATTCTGTTTTAGTTCTGTAGCATCCTTGAGAACTCCATCTAGCCATTCCATTTGTTCTCCTCCAACAGCACCATTGTACTTGAGAAATCTTCTGGCCACACCAACCAGTTCATTTGGGCTGTTCTTGTCCGAATTAGGGTTCTTTGAATTTAGGATCTCCAGTGCCAACAAGGTCTTCGGATGATCGTCGGGCCACCCAATAGCACTGATGTCATAACCATCCAACACAACAAGTCTATACCCGGGGGCAGGCGAAAACTCGTAGTAGGCACATCCATTGTCACGGCTCTGAATGTTCAGTAATGGCAGCAATTCAGCACGGGGAAGATTGTAAAGGCAGTGATTGCCAATCATATGATACGTGGGGCCGTTGAATTTCTGAAACTCACCAACTAGTTTTTTCACAGCATCTAGTGACTGGTGTTTGGGGCAATACCCATCAACAATATCACCGAAATTCACCACGAAGCTCAAGTTTTGGCGTTGGTTCCAGTTTCGGACCGCTCTTTGCAGCACGGTGATGCTATGTCGATAGTACCGGGGGACACCAAGGAAGGAGGAACCATCGGGGATATCAGCATACTGAACATCAGCTATAACCCCAAATGAAAAGACTGGTTCTTCTTCTTCCTCTACTGTACTTGTTACTCGATTGTTGGATCCCTCCATTGTCCTTCCTAGCACAATGTACAGCTCTGGAACATTGAAAATGAAACTGCTCGTATTAGAACTCTGCAATTGTAGGATTACAGAATTGATTCTCAAGGGTTCCCCAATATTGAAAATTGGAGAGGGCAATACAATTTATCACCACCTACACAGGAAAGATTAACGCAAGAGAACAGATGTTTAGCAGAGGCAGGGGGGTTTGGGTAAGTTATTTTATGGGGTTTTGGCGGTGCACGGCTCACTGTTTTTTTTTTTTTTTTTTGGGATTGGTTTTGTTATAATGGTGAAATTTGTCGGATTGCAATTTGAATGGCGTTGCTTGGGGTTGATTTAATTCGTTTTCTGAACAGAATTGATTAGTTTTTGTTGAAAATGAGCGGTAAGATGTATATCACCGCGATGAGATGGATGGAAGATGTGGTGGGTTTTTACCTTTTCTTGGATGATTGATGAAGTGGATGAGCTCTGCTGTTTCCTCTCCCTTTCCTCTTCTGTGGTCTGGTTTTTGTCGTAGTGAGCTTGTCTTCCTTGCTTGCTTTTGTGATATTCGTCGTTGTATTTGCTTTTTGGTAAGGAAGAACGAGTGGGGAAGAAGGAGAAGAAAGTCGGGGAAGTGTATGGGGATTTTTGTCTCCCTTCTGGCTTTTTTAGATCTCTCCCCTCAAATGAGAGCCAAGAGCCCAAGAGGCTCTTTTTGTAGGAAGAACAGCGGTGGATTGGGCCGGGTCGGACCCATTCTGGGTCGGTTTGAGGTCGACCGTGGCCTGTACTTGGGCCGAATTAGGCCTGGCCTGTTGACGCTGGCCCTTGCTGCTGCTGAGTTGACTGATATGGACTTGGATTCGAATTTGGCATATGCAACTATCAAATATTTATAGCGGCAGTTTTACTGCAAGTCTATCTTAGCTTTGGTATTGTACATGTAGTTACTATTAACCTGTTGGTAATTGATTGTGATTGTTATTATTGTTGTTTAGCATTGTACTTTATATTTGTAATTTATTTACTTTAGTAAGATTATTATCTTATTTATTATCGGAGTCCAGTTCTCATTAGACCCAGCGCCTTAAAGGAACTATGTTTGTGTCAACTTAAGAAGCATAAATGAGTTTTTGTGTGGTGGTAGAACACGTTTAAATAATTCCACGTTAGTGGCTTCAATCTTTGTCACAAAAATGGCTAAATTGCAAATTTGGTTACTTGAATTACTAGTAAAGTTCACGTTAGCCATTAGAATTACTTGATTCCATCCGTAGTCAATTAAATTAAGTTAACAGTTCAAATTTGGTCGATGTTGAGTCATTAAGGGAAGTCGATGTTGAGTCGTTAAAGGGAGAGAATATTGAGCAGGAAGATGAGATCGAGTGCTGAGGGAGGTAATCAAGAGGTTGTCCGGCAATCTCGAGTCCGAGAGGGAGAAGCTGAGCAAGATTTGCAGGGAGAAAAATAAGATTGAAGGCGAGCTCACCGGGAGGGTTGAGGAAGCTGAAGGTTTGAAGGCGATTGTGAATGAGATGGAGAAGGAAAAGACGAGCGAAGATGAGATTCTTGAACTAAAGTCTAAAATTGAACAATTGAGTGACCTGAAGGAAATCGTAGAGGAGGAAGTCGAGGTTCTTAAACGGGTTAGGGATTCCGCTTCATGCGACGGAATCGGAGGAGGAGGACGGTGGGTAGTAGAATTGCCACGGCGGAGAAGTTGGCGGGAAGGATTCATGCGACGGTGGAAAATAATAATTAAAGTAATTAGAATATTTTTTAAATTTATAATAATTAGTTGGAAAATAAAAAATAATTATTTTTTTTATGATTTTATTATTTTTTTAATTCCACGTCAATCATTTAACTGTCAATTATAAAAGTTGACCGCCACATCAGCAAAAGTTAATGGAGACTAACGACTAGTGACTAAACTTGAACTGTTAACATAATTTAAGTGACTACAGATGAAATAAAGTAATTCTAGTGGCTAACATGAATTTTACTAGTAATTCAAGTGACCAAACTTCCAATTTAGCCTCACAAAAATACATGAGGCCCACAAATCACTTGTGTCCGGTCACAAGAGCTAATGAGCATGGTCCATGAAACCTTACTGGAGACCATACCGGGAAAGTCAGCGTTAGGGTATTTATGGTAAAATCATGGTTTAACCGTAGTTCAACCGTTATAACAGTAAATACGGCCTACGGTTTAGCCTCCGATACTGGTATTTCGTGGTTGAACCGCTGGTACGATACGGTTCCATGGACACTGCTAATCAGGCGGAACTCGTTAGGGTGATTACTCAAAATTGAGTAATCATAGTGGCTAATAAAATCTACACCCTTCATTATCTTTATTTCACCCTAATTTTAATTTGACGATGAAGATTAGATTAATGGTAATTTTGAGAATAAAAAAAAATACTACACACTGATTTTGATCCTTAAAAAAATTAATTTATATATATTATATACCTAACCCTATCCCAACCCCATTCTCTATCGCCGTCAACACCTCTCCGGTTGGTGGTTCTCTTCCTCCGCTGGCAGCCACCCTCCCAAAGCCAACCACCCTCGACCAACCTCCCACTGGCGGTGGCCACGCTCCACTCCAGCTACCCTCGCCCACCGCTGCGGGCACCCTATTGCTGCACTGTCTCTTTTTATTTTTGTTCTCTCTCTCTCTCTCTCTCTCTCTCTCTCTCTCTCTCTCTCTCTCTCTCTCTCTCTCTCTCTCTCTCTCCGGGAGACGGTTGTGGTGGACGGCTGTGGCTGGAAAAGGTAGATGAATAAAAACTCTAAATCTGATTTTTTCCTCATTGGTAGTGATTTTTTCGTAGTGATATTTTTTCGCATTGGTATTGTGTATTTTCGCATTTGTTTTTCATAGTAGTAGTGTTTTTTTAACATTGGTATTGTTTTTTCTGCATTGGTATTGATTATCATGTAAGCATATTGCTTTTTTGTAAAATGGTAGAGATGGACCCGGTATTCACCTGCTTTACCTGCTTATTGAAATACCGAATTTTACTCCAGCTATGGTGAAGTTGATGGAATAATTAACTTTATTATATATTATTATATTATATATACTAGCTTTTACCCGACCCGTTGGTCGGATCAATTTCATTATATTTCGTATAATTTATTTTATCAATATTTATGATTTACTTGATTTGGGATCTTTAATTTTATATGATTCATGAAAAATATTTGTGGTTTTAAGAGTTGACAATGACGTAAAAGGGTAGTCCAAGCTATTATATTGACCAAAATCTCAAATATTTGAAGTATTTATTTGGAATTTTATTAAATAAAACGGGTTAATTGCATGGTTGGTCACTAACATTACAAAAAGCGTTCATGTTTGGTCACTGAAAAAATTTAAATCCATTTGTGGTCACTAACTTTACAAAACCCGTTCATTTATGGTCACTCTCCGTTAGCTGCCGTCCAATGCCGTTAACGGCGTCCGTTAAGTGATGACGTGGCTGACGGATTCGCCTAATCAGCACCTTTTGACCCTAAAATTGACCGCCACGTCATTTAAACCCGCCATGTCAGCTAAACCTAACCAAACCTCTACCCAAACCCGAATAGACCCAACCCGCTAACTAAAACCAAACAGAACCAGACCCCAACGATTGTTTGACTAAACCCTAATCTAATCAAAGACTGCCTCCTCCATCGCGCAGCCTTCCTCCCGTTCCATTTTTCTTCCTGGAGTTTTAATCTCCGATCGCGAATTCGCCGGCGGCGCAGCCTTCCTCCCTTCCTCCCTTCCGTTTTCTTCCTCCATCGCGCGTGCCTGACTTCCCCCCTTTCGCGAGCAGTTAACCCAAACCCTAAATCAAAGCTTCGAAGCTTCGATTCTCCTCCACTCTCTGACAACGAGGCCGGTTCCCTTTGTTTATTCGATTCTCCTTCCACTTTCTGAGCAGTCAACAAAACCCTAAAGGTGAGTTTCTGCCTTTTCTTTGTTTATTCGAGACCTGTCTGGAAAGACTGAAAAGGAGAAAAGAATAGGGGGCAGAGGAAAGAATCTCGTGTGTGTTATTGCTTTTGGGGGTTCACTGTTAGCTTTCTTTTATACTAAATTGCATGTTGTTGTTGGTTTTCCAGGTCACCATTTCACCGAAGGAAGCATGGTGGGGCATGTGCGGGCTCCAAATGAAACTCAGCCTAACTATGGTAATTCTCCCGTCGTTTTCGCCCTTGTCATTATGGTAGATGGCTGGTTTTGATGGTAGATGGGTGGTTTGGGTTGTCCTTTTCCACAGTTGGCATTTACTAGAGATGAGGACATCACTTTGGGTAGAATTGGAATAGAAAAATGCAGGGTTCTGTGGGAATGACGAAAAATGCAGCCTTAGGGTTTGACTTATTCTGTCTTTTAATAGAAAATGGTGGGACTTGACCACCTACTTACCTGCTGCTCCATAACTGCTCATTTCCTTTTAAATTAACTCCTTTCAATTGCTTTTTTTTTTACCAAACAGCTACTTCCAGTGGAGAATTCACATTTGCAGTTCATGTGTCCCATGAAGTGAAAGAGGTTGGCGGCAAACATTTCCTCAATGAAACCTCCACCGTGTTTTGGGACTATGCAGACATTGATGAACTCTCAGTGCTCGACCTTCCTGGCATATATGAGGCGTGTGGTGGGAAGATTAAAGAGCCGAGGTTCTTCTGGAAAGATCCTTGCAACGATGCAATGTCAGAGATTGTCAATGATGAGGATATTCTGAGCATGTCAATAGCGGCCAACGACAAGGGAAGAGTCATCGAGCTGTATGCTTTCGCGGTTGATGATCTTGACGATCTCTTGGATAGTGAAGTTGAAGAAATGGAGGCTGCCAGTTTGGGAAGAAAGGGGAAAAATGTTGCTGGAGATGATTTGTCAGGTGATTCTGACTATCATGAGGATGAAGACAGCGACTATTTGGAGGATTCAGAAGAAGATAGTTCAAGGGACAATGCACATTTTGCAGCAAATATCACTCAAGAGGTGGAAGC